GGCCGAGCGGTGTTTACGGAAGCGAGCGCGGTGTCCCCAGTTCTCCCCGCTCGCTCGCTCGGCTCGGAGGCTCCGCCCCCAGCGGCTCATTTCGTGGTTCGTTGCCAGCGCTGGGGCCAAAGCGCGGCTCCCTCCTAACCCGCTCTGGCCTTCCTGCCCTCTCAGGCGAGCCGTTTTATGTTGCTGTAGGAATGGAGATTGTCCTGGCGTTGTCATAGTGCTTGCCAGTTTCACTTGGCTACATATACGTGTGTGATAAAATGTTTTCTCGGTCGACGGTGGAAGAGAGGGTTTCGCAGAAGGGAAGCGAAAGACGACAGGAAAGAGTCACGGATGTTCTCTGTCACTGCATAACTATTGGCCCAACGGTGCTAAATTTAAATGGCTTTTCACTGGGACCCATTCAGCCTTCCCCAACCTGGTGCCTTCCCAGAACTTCAGTTTTGGAGCTGTAGCCCCAACACATCCACACTAGGTAAAGAGACTGGGACAGAGCCAAATCGAGCAAATCCATGGAATGGTCTGCCTTAAAGTGGTCCCTTTGGCCAACGTATTTGGAGGGCATCATCAGTTGGGCAACCTTGATAGCTAGGTGGAATTTCCATTTTTAAAGGCAACTGAAGAGCAGTTGGAGGGAACAATTATGAAGTAATGTTGCCCCATGACCTGCCTGGTAGTTATTGGAAACATGATAATTACTGTGGAAAATGAGATGAACTATGCATAGCTATATATTAATTTTATCTAGCAATGCTGCTTTACTGTGAGACACTATGGAAGTGAAAGTTGGACTTTGAAGAAGCTGAAGTGTATGGACGCTTTTGAACTTTGGTGTTGGAGGACTTCTGAGAATACAGTGGATAGCCAAGAAAACAGATCATTGAACACATCAACAGAGTTCTCACTTGAGGCACAAATGACCAGGCTCAAATTATCCTAGCTCAGACACATTATGTGATGACCCAGCTCTCTGGAAAAGGCTCTAATGCTGGAAAGGTGGAAGGAAAGAGAAGAGGATGACCAGTAGCAAGATGGATGGACTCAGTTATGGTGGCGATAAGTGCACCATTAGAAGGCCTGAAGGACCAGGTTAGGGACAGATCATCAGGGAGAAAATCTATGTGGTCGCTAGGAGTCAAAAACAACTTGATGGCACATAATTAAAAATGCTGTTTTAAGTTTTCCCCCAAATCACAGTTTTTAAAGTATCAAAATGATCTGCCTTGAAGTCGAATAGTGGTACCTCGAGTTACGAACGCCCCTCCTTGCGAATTTTTCGAGATACAACCAGCTCCAGCCCCAAAAATTTACCTTGACTTGCGAACTCCGCCTCGAGTTACGAACTCCCCTCCTTGCGAATTTTTCGAGATACAACCAGCTCCAGCCCCAAAAATTTACCTTGACATGCGAACCCCGCCTCGAGTTACGAACTCCCCTCCTTGCGAATTTTTCGAGATACAACCAGCTCCAGCCCCAAAAATTTACCTTGACATGCGAACCCCGCCTCG